TGTAGAATGGTTTTACACATGCATACATATTTGTGTATAATGTAGTCATCTCTGGGTGGGGGTGGGGGGAGAAAAGAAAGTTACATGTTAACTTTATCATATAGTTAAAAGGAATACCAAGTTGTACATAATAGATTTGCAGTTTCATGTACAATCATCTTTTTTTCCTATTCTACTAAATTATGCAAATGCTTGTTTTATTTCCTAAGTTCAGAATAAAATTAATAACTTTTTTAAAAAAGAAAAAAAGAAAAGGGTTCATTTAAAATCTTGCTGATATTCACTAACTTCCAATTGCTCTATTCTAATTTTTAAGGAAGTATTTTCTTCAGTAATCTTTTGGACTTCCTTTTCCATTTGGCCAATTTTGCTTTTTAGGGGGCATTCTTCTCCTCATTGGCTTTTTGGACCTCTTTTGCCATTTGGGTTAGGCTATTTTTTAAGGTGCTATTTTCTTCAGCATTTTTTGGGGTCTCCTTTGGCAAGTTGTTGACTTGTTTTTCATGATTTTCTTGTATCACTCTCATTTCTCTTCCCAGTTTTTCCTTTACTTCTCTTACTTGCTTCACAAAATCCCTTTTGAGCTCTTCCAAGGCCTAGGACTAATTCATATTGTTCTTGGAGGCTTTGGATGTAGGAGCTTTGACTCTGCTGTCTTCTGGTTGTATGTTTTGATCTTCTTTGTCACCAAAGTAAGAAAATATAGTTTGACTCTATTTGAGAGGTTTACCCATGATCCCAGCCAAGAGTTTGCTTCCAATGTGGAGAATGTACTGTCCCAAGCTTCGGGGGTTTGTACAGCTGTTTTCAGAGATACTTCTAGGGACCTGTAAATTTTCAGTTCTTCCAAGGTGGTATGATAAGGGGCGAGGTGTCTACTTCTTTCCTGTCTTGTAGTCTTGTCTATGAGTGACCACAAGCAGTTTTTTCTGTCTTGGAACTGTGAGGAGAATTTTCTCTTCCCAGCCACTACAAACTCCACCATGCCAGCACTCCTTCTTGCCCCAGGACCACCACCCAGAACTGGGACCCAGATCCAAGCATGGGCAAAGCAAGAGATTCTTGCCTCAGCACTGGCAAAGAGATCCCTGCAGTCCACCTCTGATCAGTTACTCGATTCCCCCTCAGTCCGTGGGCCTGAAGCTCAGGACCCAGCCACCACCCCGGGGCCACACTCGCTTGGGAAATGAGGCTGAGACCTAGCTTCTCTCAGCACTGCAGAAACAGACTTTTCCCACTGACCTTCTAAGTTGTCTTTGGCGTTTGTGGGTTGAGAGGTCTGGAATCTGCCACAGCTGCCTGTGATTCAGTCCTCTGAAGCCTGCTCCATGTTCACTGTGGCCTGCATGCCCACGCCCAACTGCACTCCTTTCCCTGCCTGGTGCAATATACCTTTCTGATCAACCATCCAGGCTGTCTTAGGCTGGCAATTTGCTTCACTCTGTCTTTTTGTGGGTTCTGCTACTTTAGAATTTGTTTAGAGCCATTTTTTTTACAGGTATTTGGAGGGGTTTGGGGGAGAGCTCAAACAAGTCACTGCTTTTGCTCCGCCATCTTGGCTCTGCCCCCCCCCCTTATTTGTGACAATGGAGGTGGGGCGTGATGGACCTCAGCCTTCCAAGGCTTCCTCCATGCAATGATCATTCTTTCTACCCACCAGCCTTCAGAAAAATGGAAGTGAATATGCAGGCTGAAAGAAAATAACACCATCTGGTGAAGCTGGTAACTTGTGGAGACTGAAGAAAGAAGAATAGAGTGGGAGAGGCAGAGTGGGGGAAGATGGCACCTAAAGGCTTTTCCTAGCCTTTTCTGACAAGCTGCATGGAAGGGGTGACCCCTAGAGACAGGAAGACAGACAGAGTCATATACACCTTGGGAATGGAGGGAAACACAAAGGAAAAGAACTAAATGGAAGGAGGAGAGAGGGAGAGAAAAAGAAAAACATTCTAGAATGTTTGACCTGTATGACTTGTGTGATCTTGGACAAATTATTTTATCTTCCTGGGTCTCAGTTTCCTTGTCTATAAAATGAAGAGGTTCAGCCAGATCACACACACACACACACACACACACACACACACACATCCCCTTTTTATTTTGTTGGGTGGGTGGCCATAGGGAAGGTAGCCAGATTTAGGACATTCACACCTGCAGAGATGGGGCGTACATAAGAGAGGTGACCCTATTAATCAGTTACTGCACTTGGACCTTGAGGAAAAGCTGGGCAGTTCCCAGGACTGGATAAACAGAAGGAACAGCAGCTGCTATGCTCCCAGTGCCCAGAGGCTTCAGCAAATAGTCAGTGGAGTCTGCCTGCTTCAGCCTATACTGAAGACCCAGACTATACCAGGTTCTGGGACCCTTTAGGAGGACACTCAGAGGAAAGTTTTGGGAGTGGGGAGACAATAGCACTGTGATGTAATGAAAAGAATGCCCAAGAGTCATAATATTATAGATTTAGAGCTAGAAGGGGTCAGAGGTCATTTCATCCACTACCATCACCACCACCCCCATTTGACAGATAAGGAAACTGAAGCCCCTGGGGGTTAAGTCCTTTGCCCAAGGTCACACAGCAAAGTGAGTATTTTAACTGCAGTCCTCTGAATTAAAATACAGCATTCTTTCCACCAGACTACCACACTTCCTCCCAACTCCAGAAATTTTCACTGGTTGTCCTTCATGCCTCAAATGCTGACCCTCTTCATCTCTGCTTCTCAGCTTCCCTGGAGTCATTCACGTCTCACCTAAAAAAAATTCCACCTTCCACAAGAAACCTTTTGAGGCCCCCTTGAATGCTCCAATGATTCGGTCTTTTACCTATTGATTATCTCTAATTTGTCTCTGTCTCGTTTGTATAGTTATTTGCATGTCATCTCCCCCATTAGACTGTGAGCTCCTGGAAAGCAGGGACTATCTTTTGCCTTCCTTTGTATTCCCAGTGCTTAGAATACAGCCTGGCACACAGTAGATGCTTAATGAATGTTTATTAACGGACATCATAAGAGCAGTCTGAGTCTTTACTCTAACACTTAGTAGTAGCTGTGCGATCTTGGGCAAACCAATGAAGCTCGTTGAGTCTAGACTATAAAATGGGTCACGGAGTCACAGATTTGGAACTGGAAGGAATCTCTAAGGCTATCGGCTCCAACCCTCTCATTTTATAAATAAGAAAAGTATAGCCAAGTATAGACCTGCCCAAGATCACACACATTTTGTGACGTCAGAGGTAGAGCTTGAAGCCAGGGCTTCTTAACTTCAAGGCTGGCTCTCTCTCTCTCTCTCACCTCATGGCTGGTTTTTTTTTTGTTTGTTTTTTGTCTAAGCAATTGGGATTAAATGATTTGCCCAGGGTCACACAAGCTAGTGAGTGTTATGTGTCTGAGGCTGGATTTGAACTCAGATCCTCCTGACTCCAGGGGTGGTGCTGTATCCACTGCGCCACCTAGCTGCCCCTATGATTATTTTTTGATAATAATACAGAAGCATTTTGTGAGTAAATCACTTTATAAACAACAAAGCAATGTATTAATGGCAGCTGTAAGACTCATCAGGGACTGGGACACCTGGACCCACCTCGACCACCCTTCCCTACTATCCTAGGGGAAATGCCCACAGGGAGTAAAATCCCTCCATTAAAATCCTACTGTGGGGTTAAATCTTGGTCTCCAGGAGGCCCCAATGAAACTGTGACTGTTTTTTGGGAGTGGGTTACCTAAAGACCCATTAACACCAAGGCAGGATTTGGTTGATGAGATTAACTAGCCGTCTGCCACAAGTCTGAAGGGCCCTGAAGGAGACCCAGGAAGGAGGATTGGAAAATTCTGATAGTGGAGTGGATAAGGGAAGAACGGCCATTTAGGCACTTAAGACCTAAGTCACACCCAAAGAACTGAGGGGCCCTGGAAAGCAGGGATCAAGGAGGCGTATAGGCTCATAGACTCATAGGCTAGTACCTAGAAGGATCTCAGCCGCCATCTTGGCTAAGCCCTTCACTTTACAGAGGAGGAAACTTCCAGTCCTAAAATACTTTCAGTCAGCCAATAAGCATTTATTAATTACTGTTTACTATTTACTACGTGCCAGGTACTATAAGGATATGAAGAAGGGCAAAAACACAGTCTCTGTCCTCTAGGAATTCACATTCTGGTGTGGGAGACAACATGAAAACAGCTATTTATAAAATGGGTATTCATGATCTCGACAGAGTAGAAGGAATGTAATCTCAGGAGGAAGGCATTAGCATTGTGTGTTTGGTGGGAGGGAGAGTTGGGGAGAAGAAATGAGAAGGGCCTCCTACAAAAGGTGATTAATAATAATAATGCCTGGCTTTTAGATATTCTTTAGGATTTATAAAGCTCTTTACCTGTGTTATCTCGTCTGAACCTTACAAGAGCCCTGTGAAAGGATGGCCCCTAAGTAGAAAGCTGCTGTCCAGCTGGCTCTGAACAGTATGTGAAGCCCCTCATGTGAAATCATAGTCTTGGAGTTAGGAGGGGGCCTTAGGGGCCATACAGATTCAACACTTACATTTTATAGAGGCATCTCTCTTTGTTATCTCTATTGTCACCTGTTTTACAGATGAGGAAACTGAGGCTAGCAAAGGGTAAGAGACTTGCCCGTAGTCACACAGCTAGTAACTGTCTGAGGTAGGATTTGAACTCAGGTCTTCCCAACTCCAGATCTATCTACTGTGCAGTCTAACTGTGTTCCTGGAATGGGAGACATCTACGATTCTAAAATTCTTGGTCTACTTCAGACATTAAGCTGGGGGCCCTACCCTGGGTTAGGAGATTGGACAACATCATCTCAAGGACATCTGGGTGATGGGGGGAGGGGGGAAGTGTTAGAGGATCCACAGGCTAACTGGGAAGCTGCCATATGGTTCCACAGGCAATGGGAGTTCTTGGTCTGCCTAGATTATCTACAGCCTGTTGTGTACCTGTACGCCAGAAGATAAGAGGCACCATGGGATTGGGGGAGGCAGGTCACAAGGGAAGGAAAAAGGGGATTTATCAGAATCACAGGGTCCCTGTAGATCCAGTCTCCTGACTCTTCAGCTCTACCAGTCCTGCTGTGTCCCTAGCACCACCACTTACTATGAAGAAAGTTCTTATCCTGTTGCTGATCTCCCTGGCTGTAGCCTGTGCCGTCCCCAACCCTCGGGGCCTGATCACCAACCTGGTAAGAGAAACTTTCCTGCATCCTCTGAGTCCCAAAAGGTAGATTTCCTGACTAAGCCTGGTCTACCCGGCTCCCTCACCAAATGCCTCTCATCTCTGGCAGAAGAACTAATAGCATACCTACCTCTCATCCAAGACCCTCATTGAATAAAGTGAGGACCAGAAAAGGGGAGATAACATGTTCAAGATTACACAATCCATCAGCGACAGAACCAGGGCTAAAACTCAGGCCCCCTTACTTCCAGCTACCTTCTCCCACAATGTCATAATGCCTTAGATAAAACACTGTAGCCTGTGGCCTTACCACGTTGTCTACATTATATATCATGGATATAGCAAGCATCTACACTGCCTCATGCTGCCTGCCCTGAACCATGATGCTTTACCAAACATGTATTCTGCAGCACATAGCCTTACCAAGAATCAACATTGTATTAATTTGCCTTGATGAGTACTTACTGATTTACCATATATCTAAGCTGCACCACAGCACCTTATCCAGCTAACTCAGCAGGTATGATTCTCCTCCAGACGAACTTTAGTTTCTAGCACCATACTCCCAGCTGCCCAGGGAGTATCCAAGATCCCAAACTGGGCTACCCCATGAGGCAGGGTCTCATGCTTCAGATTTTTCTCCCTTTCTCCTCAACAAAACTTAGCCTGCTTTATATTTCTGCTGTTTTCTTTCCAAAGTACCAGCTAGCTGGTAAACTGATAAACCCATCCTAGTCAGGTCAGTGTATAAATGGGTACTAAAGAGTTAATGAGTTACCCCATTCTTAAACCAGTCAAAATGCATAGTTCTTCAGAAGGTCATTAAAGAGCTAATATGGCATTTGTTTAGCAGTTGGGAAACGGGGCTCAAATTACATACACCTCATAGGCAGCCACAAATCCTATCTATGGGTAGGGCCAACTATAACCTCCAGATTCCACATAAAGGAGCCTGAGGCACTGAAAAGTACAAAAGAACTGATCCACAAATGACAGTAATGGACCAGGATGCCTGCAGAGAACAGCAAAATATCGAACCAAGACCTGGCTTCCAGAGCTTCTAATCTTGAAGTCCTAGGTGTCGAACAAATGATCCATACCTAGAGGAGAAGAAGGGGAAGTGAAGCAAGGGAAGGAATTAGGTCCCCTTCATTGTAGGTTAGGTATGTATTCTCAGGACAGGCAATCAAAGGAGAAGAGAATTATTGAGTCATAGACGCTATACCTGGAAGAAGCTTTAGAGAACATGGAAGCAGGAGTAACATGTTGGAAGCAGCTCTAACCAGCTTATGAGAGCCAATTGTTAAATTTTTAGAGTGAGCATTTTAGACCTTGGAAATCAGCAAATGCTACAAATCAAGACTGGAATTACTGCTTTGCTGATTGTCTGGACTTAAGAAAAATATCTCTTTTTTTAAAAAGTCTTTATAATATTTATAATATAATTTGTAATATTTATAATATTAATGTTTATTTATAATATTAGTGTTTAAAAACTGTTTGAGTTCCTGATTCTTCTTTTCCTCCAACCTCTTCTTCTCCCATTGAGAAGGCAAGCAATAATGATACCCACTATACCTGTGCAGAGATGCAAAATGTCAGTCTGTATTCAGAATTCATCAGTTCTCTCTCGAGAGGTGGATTGCATTTTTCATCTTTTAGAATTGTCTTGGATCATTGATCAAGAGTAGCTAAGACTTGAGAAAATATCAATCATGCAGACAGAATTTAAAAGTGTGTGTGTGTGTGTGCATACTTACTTTTTTCTTAGGAGATCCTGATTATTAATTTACCAACATACCCCTGTGTGTATCTAAATCAGGGACAGGGAACATGTGACCCTCTAGGTCCTCAAGTGCGGCCCTTTGACTGAATCCAAACTTCACAGAATAAATCCCCTTAATAAAAGGATTTGTTCTGTAAAACTTGGACTCAGTCAAAAGGCCACATCCAAGGACCTAGAAGGCCACCCTTGGGGACTTTCACCAGATTGACTGGAGGGGGTGGGGCGGGCTGTGCTTTCTCACAGGAAAATGGGGAGCTGTGCTTGAATAGTGCCCAGTGTAAGAGCAGCTGCTGTCACCGAGATGCTGGCCTGAGTTTGGCCCGCTGTGCTAATAAAGCCCCTGAGAACAGTGAATGTTCTCCCAAAGTAAGTAGCCAAGGAGGGTTTGGGGCAAGGGTGGAAAAAGGGAAGAAAATGGTAGAGTGCTGTGGGGGTGAGGAGTGGAAGGAGTGTAGCTGGAACTGGGGCCACCAAATGGGAAGGTTCTTTCCCAAGAAGGAGAATCACCTAGCCCTATCTTATGGCTTAAAAGAGGAAGAAACAAAAAAAAATAGATAGATAGATAGATAGATAGATAGATAGATAGATAGATAGATAGATGAATAAATTAATTAATCAATCAATCAATTAATAGATAAATAAGCAAACAGACAAATAAAATAAGAAACAGGGTTAGAGAGGGAAAATGACTTACCCAGGGTCATGCAGTTCATTGACAGAACCAGGACTGGAGCTCAGGTCTCCTAACTTCCTCACTGCTGCTGCTGCTATTGTAGTTTTTACCATACCTGTTCTGAAGAGCCTCATTGTACGATCAGAAGTCTAGAGCTAGAAGTGACCTCAGTGGATATCGAGTCCATCCCCTTCGCTTTAGAGAGGACTCCCTTCCCCACTCCCTCTTCTCCTCCCATTTAGAACCAACAAGAATCACAGGATCATAGATTCGAAGTGGGTAGGGTTAAGGGTCATCCAATTCAATCTCTGCCTTTTACACATGAAGAAAGTGAAGCCCAGAGAAGTTAAGTGATGAGGAAAATGAGGGATAGGGAGGTTACTGACTTGCCTGGGGTCACACAGATGAGGTGTGGGGTGGAGAGAGCACCAGACTTTGAACCGAGAAGACCTAGGTTTGGATCCTGCTTCAGACACACTTACTACCTCTGTGACCTTAGATAAGAGTCATCTCATTTCCTTGACTCTCAATGTCCTCACCTGTAAAATGGGGGAGTTTGGACTCAGTGACCTCCAATGTCCCTTCCAGATCTAAATCCATGACCTTGTGACTATCAGAGGCATATTAGAATCAGGTTTAGAACTACAAGGGCCCTTAGAGATTATTTAGTCCAACAATAAAGCCTAGAGAGGGGGAAATAATTTACCCAAGGTCATATTGGTAGGGAGTGGCAAAGCTAGAATTAGAACCCAGATCTTTGAACTCCAAATTTAGTACTTCGTCCATTATATCATACTGACCCTTGAGGCATGTTTTGTTTCTGGACAGAACCACTAGTGACAGAGATAGAAATAGGACTAAAATTTCCTGACTCCTAATCTGGTGACCTTTCCACTGCATTTCTGATAAATGTTGCTTAGTTGGTTTTCAGTTGTGTCAGACTGTTCGTGACCCCATTTGGGGTTTTCTTGGCAAAGACACTGGAGTGGTTTGCCATTTTCTTCTCCAGCTCGTTTTACAGATAAGGAATTGAGACAAACAAAAGTGACTTACACAGGATCACACAGCTAGGATGTGTCTAAGGCCAGATTTGAACTCAGGAAGATGAGTCTTCTTGACTCCAAGCCCAGCACTCGGTACACTATGGCACTGCCTAGCAACGCTACTCTGGAAGATAAGAGATCATCACCCAGGGCATACACGATACTGTCTACTGCACCTTATTGGAAAGACAATGTGGTATGGTGGAGAAAGCATTGGCTTTGAGGTCAGAAGACACGAGTTCAAATTCTCCTGTCATTTCCTCTCTGTGTGACATTGGGCAAATTACTTAATTTCTCTGGGCCTCAGTTTCCTCATCTGTAAAATGAAGGGGCCTCTAAAGCCTTCCAGCTCTGAATCTATGATCTTGTGACTTTTGCTGGTTTTAAATGGGATGAAAGGAGGTAGTGGGGGTGGGAGAAGGGAGTCAGGAATCCTATCCAGAAACAGCTAGAGATACCCTGAGATGTCTCCCCATCCCAGGTCTCTCATCAGGGATCAGTGGCTCAAAGGATTAAGGCTACAAGGGACTAAGGATTATTTAATCCAACCTACTTGTTTTAGAGATGAGGAACCAGAAGCCAAGATCGGGGACATGATGTATCCAAGGTTCCACAGTCAAAAACAGGATCTCTAACTCCAAATATGTTGCTATCTTCCCTATACTACATGTTATCGAAGTTGAGATATAGAACAGAGGGGTTTTTTTGGAGGGAGGGGAGCTTCCTATGGATTCTACCTCCCCTCTGCAGCCTCCATGTCAGAGGAGTGGGGAGCAGCAGCCTCAATCCAGAAGCTGTTAGACCAGTGACTGAACCCAGATGGGTCCAGTGATGTGACCGTTCTTATGTCTCCCCCAGTCACTCTATGGAGTTTACTACAAGTGTCCCTGTGAGAGGGGATTGACCTGTGATGGGGACAACAGCATCTGGGGTTCCATCACCAACACCAACTTTGGTGTCTGCCTCGATTTGTGACGTTCAAAGGAGTGAAGTCTTTCCCCACTTACCCTACCTTTCCCCACCAGCCCAATTAAAGCTCATCCAGCAAACCCTTCCTGGACTAAGTTTGTGTCATTCTTGAAATCCATCATCCGTCTCTACTCAGGGTAGTGATAAGGGTGAGATAGATATGGCAGGACCAGATGAGACAAAGTTCTGAGCTGGCAAGCAGAAGAGGGAGAAGTTGGGAATGAGTGGGGCAGGGTAAAAGAATAGGAGAATAAATGAATGCCAGAGCTAGAAGTGAACTCAGATGTTATCTAATCCAAGAGTCCTTAAAATGCACATGGGAGAGTCTTCAAATAGGAAAAAAAAATACATCTTTATTTTTACCAACCTCTAACTAAAAATTGGCATTTCCTTTTTGTTACAAATGTAGGCAGAAAACCACGATTCTAAGAAGGATGTTCAGAGCCTTCACCAGAAACAGTGCCCACAAAGGTTAAGAACTCCTAATCTAACCCAACTTTTTAAAATCCAACTTTTTAGATAATAGCTAGCACTTTCTGGCTCACAATCTTTCACAAAAAGAAAAGATAAGAAGCGCAGGGGGACTCCAATCTTCAGGGATGAGAATATCAGCACACTCTCTTCCATAAACTTCTAGCCAGACTCAGGGGAAAATTGTCTGCTGCTTTCTCAGCCTACCCCTCCCCAATGAATGGGGCTCTCTCAATCCCTCTGGGTAATTCAGCAACCTGTGCAAATGTTGAGGGTTAGGGGTTCAGGGGTGCTGGGATCCCAAAATCACAACACATGGATCCTGCCTGAAAGAATTTGACCCAAGTCTTCTTTCAGCCAAAGACAAAGTTTATTAGAACATCCATCATATTAGGCAGACTCTTATGGAGTCTGAAGATCAGTGAGCTCATTGGCTAGATTGTAAGAATCTGAGCATCTTAATGGAGAGAAGATGGACCTTACATACATACAGAAAGACTATGGGAGGGATCTAGGAGTGGCCAAGTAGTTTATGAGGTAATATCCCGAATAGGATTAAGGGTAGGAAGTGGCCTGGGGCCATAGGGGGGTGAGACAATGGAGGGCTAAACTAGGTTAAAGGTAACAGAATTGGGAGATGAGGTGTAGCCACAATGAAAGGCCAGTTGATGGGATTGTAGCCTCAGGCAAAATCCAGAGATTTGGCTTTATGGGAAAATCCAGAGTTTTTCCTTTTTGGGGTCTAGATTCTAACCAAAGGTTGGGATGGGTTGGTGCCTCAGGCAAATGCCAGAGACTTGACCATGTGGGAAAGTTCGGGTGGGGCAGGTTCCAGGGCCTACACCCACTCAAAATGACTTGCTCAGCATGATGCAGCTAGAAAGTGTCTAAGGCAGGATTTGAACTCAGATCTGTCTGACTTGGACTCTAGCTTTAGCCACACTGTGCCACCTAGCTGCCTAATTTAACAACTCATTAATAATATTAATTACTTAATATATAATAATGTATAATAGAAATAATTAATAAGTTAATAATAAAAACATAAAGTTAAACGGGAAATAAAAACTCTCAGTGCTGGTTGAAAGCAGAGAAGGAACAAAAGAAACCTGGGAAGTGAAGGAACTGACTGACTAATGGAATCTTAACTTCTCCCTAGAGGAAGGAAGACAGGGGAAGAGGGTCATGTCTCCATCCCTCTCCACCTGCCTGGTAAGCCAAGCATGCCCAAGTCTTTCTTTAATCTTGGGCTCTGATTGCCAACCTACTCTACCCACACCTGCCCATTGTTCTGTGACACACTCTAACAAAGTAGACTGACCCTCTACTAACTCTTCAGAGCCCCACCACCCATTGGCTCAGATAGTGCCCTGCTGGTGTATTTTGTCTTTCCACTGATGGCAAAGAGATTAGAGGTAGGGAAGGAGGGAAGCAGGCAACAGTACCCCGTAGTTCAACGTCAGGAGCGCCAGGAAATTAAGAGTCTGCCTGAAAAGTCTCAGAATGTGAGCCTGTAAGATTGTAAGCTTCTTAAGGGCAGGAACTGTGTTTTGTTGCATTTTAATTGTATCCCCAGTGCTTTACACAGTACTTGATATATCATAAATGCTTAATTGGAACAAAATTCATCTTGACCAGTATAAATATCCAGGAGGAAAAAAACAAAGCATTATTAGAATCAGTTGCATAACAAACACAAAAATGCTTGCTCTTACCCCCAAGCTCTAACTCTTATAAAATTACAATGAAAATAAAACTTAAAATCACTTACATTATGAAACTCTGGAATTTTGTTTAAAAAACAAAACTGCTGAGTATCTCTGACATACTGACAGTTTGTGGACTGACTGACCAGCAGATAGAACCCTGGTTCTCTCTAATGATTCCAATGCCTTGTCTCTGTGGACATGGCAAAAAATAGATTTTTTTTTTCATTCTTTTGAATTTGTTTTACAGTGTCTTGATTTCTCATAAAGTCACTAGCTTCCAATTACTCCATTCTAATTTTTAAGGAAGTATTTTCTTCAGTAAGCTTTTGGACTTCCTTTTCCATTTGGCCAACTTTGCTTTTTAAGTCATTCTTCTCGTTGGCTTTTTGGACCTCTTTTGCCATTTGGGTTAGGTTATTTTTTAAGGTGTTATTTTCTTCAGTATTTTGGGGGGTCTACTTTAGCAAGCCGTTGACTTGTTTTTCACGATTTTCTTGTATCACTCTCAGTTTTTCCTCTACTTCTCTTACTGGCTTCTCAAAATCCTTTTTGAGCTCTTCCATGGCCTGGGGCCAATTCATATTTTTCTTGGAGGCTTTGGATGTAGGAGCTTTGACTGTGTTGTCTTCTTCTGGTTGTGTGTTTTGATCTTCTTTGTCACCAAAGTAAGACTCTATGGTCTGACTCTTTTTGGCTACTTGCTCATGATCCCAGCCAATTACTTGAGTTGTAAACTCTTTGTTAAGGTAGGAGTCTGCTTCCAGTATGGAGAATGTACTGTCCCAAGCTTCGGGGGGTTTTGTGCAGTTGTTTTCAGAGAGATTTCTAGGGCCCTGTAAATTTTCAGTTCTTCCAAGGTGCTATGATCAAGGGTGAGGTGTTTACTCCTTTCCTGGCCTATGCTGTGGTTTATGAGTGACCACAAGCACTCTTTTTTGTCTTGGAACTGTGAGGAGGATTTTCTCTTCCCAGCCGCTACAAACTCCACCATGCCAGCACTCCTCCTTTCCCCAGGACCACCACCCAAACTGTGACCCAGATCCAAGCACAGGCAAAGCAAGAGAATCCTGCACCAGCAGAGAAATCCCTGCAATCCCCCCTCTGATGAGCCACTCGATTCCTCCTCAGTCTGTGGGCCAGAAGCCGCCACCCCAGGACCACACTCTGGGACTGGGACCCCACGCTTCTCTCTCACCGCAGACACAGACTTTTCCTACTGACCTTCTAAGTTGTCTTTGGTGTTTGTGGGTTGAGAAGTCTGGAAACTGCCATAGCTGCCCAGATTCAGTCCTCTGAGGCTTGCTCCAGGTTCACAGAGGCCTGCGTGCCCATGCTGAACTGTGCTCCTCTCCCAGCCCTGTGCAATAGACCTTTCCAATCAACCATCCAGGTTGTCTTGGGCTGGAAATTTGTTTCACTCTGTCTTTTTGTGGGTTCTGCTGTTTTAGAATTTGTTTAGAGCCATTTTTTACAGGTATTTGAAGGTGTTTCAGGGAGAGCTCAAGCAAGTCACTGCTTTTACTCTGCCATCTTGGCTCTGCCCCCCAAAAATAGATTATAAATATAAATAATATGACATAATCCCTGTCTTCAAGGAGCTGACTATCTTATTGAGGTATACAAAATGTAGATAGAGTAGCAATACAAGACAGAATGTGAGAGGAGCAAAGGAGAGATCTAGACATTATGCTCTGGGAAGATTTAAGGAGGGAGATGTCAGCTTGAGGAGTCAGGGAAGACTTCTTGGAAGAAGTGACACCTTGGTAGAGCTTTAAAGGAGGAGAAGTTTTCAAATGGGGCAGCTTGGTGGCACAGTGGATAGAGTTCTGGACCTGGAGTCAGGAAGACTCATGTTACTGAGTTCAAATCTGGCCTCAGACATTTATTAGCTGTGTGATCCTGGGCAAGTCACTTAACCCTATTTGCCCCAGTTTCCTCGTTAGAAAAATGAGCTGGAGAAGGAAATTGCAAACCACTCCAGTATCTTTGCCAAGAAAACCCCAAAAATGGGGTCATGAAGAGTCAACCATGACTGAAATGACTGAATGATGAAGTTTACAAACGATTTTGAGCTAAAAGGGACCTTAGAGACAATAACCTTTATTTGACAAATAAGGAAACTGTGATCTAGAGAGAGCTTGTCCAAGGATATACAAGAATACCACCATATATATACCACACCATAAATATGTCAGCATTGTGGTCCACTGTATATGTACCATACTATACATACATCAGCATTGTGGTTGCAGAGGTCTCTCAGTCAACCAGGAGTCACTCCAACTAATACGTGCCACCCCAAGCCTGGGGTGGGTGCTATACCTGATTTGTGGTGATCCTGCTTCTACTAAAAGACTCTCATTGAGGGAGAAGCATACTACCTTCCAAGACAGCCCAGTCTGCTTCTGGGCAGCTCTAATTATTCCGAAGTTTTTCCTTACATTTTGATTAGATCTGCCTTTCTGCAATTTCCACCTATAGCTTATGATTTTGATCTAAAAGGATAAGCAGAACAAGACGAACTCTTCTTTTAATCTGATAGTCTTTCAGATACTTGAAGATCAATATAAAATCCTTCTAAGTTTTCTCTTGTCCATGATAAAAACCCCTAGCTCCTTTCAGTGATCCTCATATTCCATGGTCTCCAGTTCCCACTCTGCCAATGTGACTTTTGGCAACTGGTCACCTTTCTCTGCTCCCTTTTGTACTTCCTAAAATTCGATGCTCAGATATGAATCTGAGGTCTAGTTGTGTTCTCTCCAGGACAGAGTACTGCAGACTCACTCCCTCTCTCATTCAGAACACTATGTCTCTTAATTCCATGTCATAATGATGAGAATGGGATCTAGACCCCAAAAAGGAAAAACCCAGGACTTTCCCGCATGGCCAAAT